TCTTTTATAAAGACTGTTGTTCGACCTGCTGATCCTCTTGCCCTGTTTGAAGTCTGCTTTCCCGAGACCAGAGCGCATTTCAACTCTCTCCAACATTCCCTTACTTTGCTACTACAAAGTCTAAGTCACTCTTTTCAGAATCGCTATTTCCTGGTCAGCAAAGGGACTTTGACTGTCAGCCTGCATTCCATGCAGAGGAGAATCCCCTCTTCTGGCTCACTCGGGCCCCCAGTGCAAAGAAGCAATCACTGCAATGCAGGGAGATAACCCAAGTGAGCTTCTCCCCAGAGGCCAGGGCTACAGAAACTCCTAACCAGTCTGTGTTGATTCCAGGCCACTCCCTCTCAGCTGTGTATGAGAATCTTCTTACTGTCCCTTGGGCTCACCAGGCAAGCTGGGGTGCACTCCCATCCTGTTCCCTCATCTCCCCCCATAGGCTCTCCTCTGACTTCAAAGTATGTGTGACCAGACAGCTCCTCTTCCTTCCCTCCCATCATATCTATTTCTTTTGGGTTTTTTGAAAGATTTCTTTATTTATGCATACAAGAACTGGGGTACAGGCCAGAGATGCAGGGGGTGAGAGGATTCACCAGAGACAGACAGGGGAATAGAACAGGCGGATCTACTGAAATACACTGCTGAGAAGAGCAGTGGGCGAGTCAGGAGAGGTCTGCTGCGCCATGTGGGTAGCTCCCTGGCCAGGCATCGTGCTGCAGTGGCTGCGGATAGCTTCATAGTGCTGTGTCTTAACCCCATGCGCCACCAGGGAAGCCCCTATATCTATTTCTTTTGAACAGAGCTTGCACCGCCATTGCCACATTGTGGGCAATGTTAAAATTGCTTAAAGAAATCAGGTTCGTACTTTTAAAAAATGCTGACACTGAGTGCGTTGGTGTAGGGTCACTAGACATTTGAAACTATGTTTGATTGATTTCAGAATCTAGAAGTTTAATACACTGTAAGTCATACCCACTGAGAGTTTGTCTAACTAATGTCATATGCTTTCATGTTGATCAGCTGTCAATACAGCGGTGATGTGCCTCATTCTAATAAAGCTAATATTTGCCACAACTTCCTGATACACGAAAGTAGTGCCTTGAGGAATAGGCCACTTCCTCCTACTTTGCTTGTGGGGGACCCTGATCTTGCTGATGTCCCAGTCACGGCTTTCACCAGAATGGGTCTCCTTTTGGCCTAATCAATTCACCTCTCCCATCCTACAGGCCAAAGAAATTCTTTTTGAGAACTGGAGTGTGGGGGGGCTGAATTTTGCCCTGGAGATGTGAGAACTCCCCACCCCCTACCTCCCAAATATACCTGCTGATCCCGCCTTTCAGAGCAAGGGTGCCCCCCTTCCAGAGCTGGTTCTTAGAGTGAAATGTCTCCAAATGGGAAACTGGCATGTACCCTCCAAGGACATAAACCAAAAAGCAGAAAAATTTGGAATTCAGGAGACCAGAGGTCAGGCACAAAATCCTTTACTAGCTGAGAAAGTCGAGGGACCAGGGCTGTGCGCCAGAACAAGACAGCAAGGAGCCCAGCAAGGGGAGCGAGCTTGCAAAAAAGGAAACAGTCATTATCTGATCACTTAACCATGGGAAAATTAGTGTTTAGGATGGTTTTAAATTTCTGCTGGAGAGTTTTGGAAGAATTATTAGGATAATGAAATTGACTAAGATGATTTTCAAAAATGAGGTAATTATTATCTCCTGGAAGAATAAAGACTTCTGCAAGAAAGAAATGTGATCCTGAAAGTGTTTCTTCACTCAGCAGTGAACAGTACATACATAATTATAATAAAATTGAATATCGATTTAACCAAAAAAAATGCGATATAAATATTTTAAAGAATAGAAGGGGAGAAGATAAAGGTATGAAAGTGGGTTGGAGCAACCGGCCCCAGCTGCCATCGTCAGAAGTCCTCAGCATTTAAAGCAGACGAGCCCAGGGCTAACCGTGCAGACACATTATTTATAGATTTGGAGTGCACATCAGGAAACGAAGTCTGGACACAGGAATTTAGGAGGGAAATGGCACAGCAGACTGCGTTTTTCCTTCATGTCTTTTTGTGCTTCTTGAATTTGTAATTATGTAGCTTGGGCTGTGTTGTTATGATAAGTAAGCAAACCAGCAAACATACCTGAGATAAAAGAGTTTAAGATTCGAGAGAAGCAGCTGAAGACAGAGAAGAGTTGAGGCTTCTTCACCATGTGGACAGGAAAGTTGACTGATTTTGTAGGAAAATGTTCATGCAAGAATGTCACTTTGACCCATGACACACACATGAGAGAAGCGTGTTCAGGTGTGCCCCTGCAGCAGACCGACCCGGGCTCGGCTGGAACAGAGGATGAAGCTGCTGTTCTGGTTGCCCCTGGTCTGTCTTTCCATCCTGCCTAGAGTCTGGGGCATGTCTGCTCCCCAGCTCTCCTCCACTTTGCTGCAGGCACTCAGGTGCGGAGGGCGCTGTGGTTTGGACTCGGAGCAGGAAGAGTGTGTGGGTAGGGGACCTCTGAGGAATTTTGAAGAATGGGCAGACATTCTCGTCCTTGGGGGAGTAGGGCAGCAGCAGGACGGAGCCTGTCCAGTCTTGCCAGCAGGTGGTACCTGTGCCCCCTCTGCTGTCTCCTGGTCCCGATCAGCCTCTGTGGGCTGATGTGGTCACTCAAGGGAAGGAAAGTCTTTATTCTGCAGGGGCCTCCTGCATTTGAGCACCTGTGTCTTTCTCCAAGACTAGTTCTCAGTTTTCTCTCAAGAATCTGCCTCTCACCCCAACAGGTCCTATTGCCCCTGTGCTTGCCCCCATCCAAGCTTGGACCACCTGAAATGTCAAAGCCACCCCTGAGGAATCTGGGCTGAGTCCTCAGCTGGGTCAGGCCCTGGTCAGCCCGAGGTGACAGAAAGGGCACCTGAGTATGGAACCTCCTGGAATCAGCCTGGAATCCCCGGGAAAGTCAAGCAGGAGATGTGCCACTGTGGGAAAGAAGCTAAATCTGGGATTTGTCGCTCCAGCCTACCCCAGGTCTGGGATGAGCTGGACGGCGGCATCTGCCCACAGGTGCCGTGGGCGACACAGAACAGTCCTCTGGACACTTGCAGGACAAAGATAATCTCCAGTGTCTGGATCCTGATTGTTCCATGATCAAATGACAAAATAAAACAAAGTTCTTGTGATCTTAGGCTCAGTGGCAAGCAGAATGTTAGTTTCACAAATGAAAAAAATACGTTTTGGGAAGGGGAAGTCAGTCAGCAGGATGAGCACCTCCCTCCGTCCATACCCATGAAGTGGGCATCTAGTTAGTGTCTCCCAAATCTCTGACCCACTCAAGAACAGAAGAGATTCCAGGAAATGACCAGCCAGACCTCACCGTAGAGAATGTGGCTTGAGAGCTCATTTTGAGAGGCGCCTCCCCAGTGAGGAATCCTTGCAAATGCATGTGCCAGGAGGCCAGAGGGTGGAGAATTCGTGAGTGGGAGTTTTCTGAGCAGACACCTCGGGATGTGGAGGGTGTGGGCAGAGCCACCAGGCACCACGCCGAAGGACCAGGTCAGCGTCCAGACGTGAACACAGCCTGGTACAAGGAACAAACACACAGTCTACTAGCAGGCACCCTGCCGGGACTGTGGCGGAGCAGTGCTGGGTGGGGACTTTCCCACCGGGCCCAAGGCCTGGCCAGCCAGGGTCCGTGGCGGTGGCTGACAGCATGGGTTCTGGAGGTAGACGGAGTTAATGCCCGAAGATCCCGAGTCTGGGGCTGTCAGCCTGCCCTGTTAGGGGAGATCTCCTGCGGGTGAGAAAGTGATGCAGCAGGACAACATCAGTTCTGTTACAAAGAGAGTCTCCAAGAATGAATGAGCTTTTCCAGTGGGATTTAGAGGGAACCTTCACCGGAATGTCCAGGTCAGAGCCCAACACACCTGCACACTCAACCACATCACCCCAGGCTCCTCCTGGGCCTGCTGGGGCCCTGGAGGACAAGGATGCCATGGGCCTGGGGCCAGTGGCTGGCCGTGCAGCTGAGCAGTTTCCGCCCTCAGGGGGCTTTGCTCAGGCACCAGCCTTTGATTGTCTCTGTAACAGGATCTGAGAGAGGAGGTTGATCTATAACCTACAAGCTGACTCTCTGCTGCACCCAGGCCAGAGGGCTCAGGGAGGCGCCCTGCTTGGGGCCAGGAAGAATGTGTCACCATTCCCCGCCCCCCCACAGGAGAGGAGAGCTTGATTGTTAGCCCCCGGCCAGGGCAGACAGGCCAGCTTGTGCCTAGACGGCCCTCCTCAGGGCTCCCATATCCTTCACCCAAGGTCAAGAAAGGCCTCCAAAGCAGGGCTGAGGACTCCAGACACCCTGACTCTGCCCACTTCTTCCCTGTGAGGTGTGTTGTCTGGCAATAGGTGGTGGGCAGGAAGCACAGCCAGCACCGGAAGGGCAGGGAGGGCCAAACCACGAGGCCTCATCACAAATCTCACCTGCCCCTCGGACTCCCCATAACTTCTCAGCAGCAGCTGTTCCACAAGGGAAGCAGGAGGCCATGCCTTACCCACTTTACAGGGAGGTTTTAGGGCCCAGAGAAGAGGTGGCCACCCCAGCTGCAGCAGACTCAGTGACCGTGTCTTCTCCAGCAGCTGGGCCTTAGGCTGGCCCTGGGTGAGGAGAGAAAAGCATGGGATCACTTCCCAGGGCCAGGGGTTAATCTGGTGGGGGTGAGGTGAAATCTGAGGCCTGTGTGCATACACACGCGTGCACGCACACACACACACACACACACATGCAATAACCCTCCTCCCAGGGGAACGCCCCCCAAAAAGCAGTCCACATGTGTGCCCAGGGGTTGAGTCAGCCCTGATTCTCTTTAGAACATAAATGGGTCCCTTTGCCCCACTGGGTTCTTGCCATTGTAGGCTCAAGGCGGACAGAGGCAGGATTCACAGGGGAAATCACAGGGGCTTTTCTCTTCACATCTGTGCTCTTCCTCACCCTCTTCCCTCCCTTTGCTCCCCCAAGGGCCCTGACCTAAAAGAATCCATGGAGATGCTCAAATAGAAGCCATTCAACTCAATGGGGGTCCTCCAACTTAAAAAATGTTCACCTCATCCATGTTTTAAATACAGAAGCTGTACAATTTACCCAAAACCAAGCACTGAAAATATTTAATTCCATCTAATTGCCTGTGGGGGGTGGGAAAAGACAAGGGGGAGAGAGCGTGGGATAGGAGAAAATTGGGAAGGAGCAGAGAGTATAAGTGGCAGCATCTAGCCAGGAAGAGAGAAACCACGCAAGGTGTTTGAGGATGGAGTTATTGAATACAGGGAACAAGGTGCTCATCAAAGAGTCAGGATGTGGAAGAGGAAAGGCCCCAGAAGGTCACCACCGACTCCAAGTTCACCACTAGCTTTCTGGGAACCAAGAAGCTTCTGTCACCTTGTAGCCAGACACTGGAGGAAGCTTCAGAAACAGCCACCACCTGTGGCCCTGCGGGGATGATCTGCAGGGCAGAGCTCACATCTGGAGCGCCGTGCCTGCCTACCTGCTAAGGGCAGAATAATGCGGCTTCTGCCCCTCTTCTGCCTTCCAAGTGTCACCTATGTGCATCTCATTGGTGGGATTTACGTGCATCTGGAACTCTCCTGCAAGGGAGCTCACCAGCTTCCAGCCCCTCCCGATAAGAGAGAATACAGAAGGGGAGCATGGATGTGAGGTTCCCCCCAGATAATAGCACCACCAAGAAAAGAGGAAACTCAGGGAGAGAGGGAGAGTCGCAGAGATGGAGAGCTGGGCAGAGGGAAGATTCAGACAGCCAGGAACAGCAAACCGGGCAGGGCAGGGACAAATAAGAGGGGACAGGCAGAGGACAAGTGAGCAGTCAGATTAAAACGGAGGGAAGAAGCCGGGGTGCAGGAGGTCGTTTTGGGCCATCATCCGATATTTTGTGAAAATGCCGACTTGCCCAGCACTGACCCCTTAACCGTTCTAGTCGCAAAACCTTTAGGGTCGTGACTGTCAAAGTTTGCTGTGCATAAAATATCCCCCAGAATAGATTTTTAAAATAGCTTCAGAGATTCTGACCCAGAGAATCCAGGGTCAGGCCTGGGGATTGGCATTTTAGCAGCTCCCCCGAGTGGTTCTGAGGTCCCTGGGGGACCTCCTGGGAATCTAGCTCTTGACCCTCCTCCAGGGGTGGACACGCTTTTGGCCGCCCTGGGTGGGTAGCTTGGAAGCGTGGACAAGTTGGAGCTTCCAGGCTGCCACCCGCCCACCGTGGGATCTCACCAAAAGCCCTTTCTACCGCCCCTTTTACCTCTCCCCTTCCTGCAGCCTCCAGAAATCTGATGTCCTAGTTAATTTTTACCTCCAAACAAGCTAATTAAGCAATAATCCTAGCAGAATCCATCACTCTGACAAGGTTGTTGATTAACCATCCCCCAGTCAAGCCAAAAGTGTTTAATATCCCAGCGGAATGGTCAATAATGAGTACAGCAGCCGCCCCGGGCTGTGTCTGCGAAGACAGATGCAGAATGGGTAATTGGGCCCGACTTTGCAGCCTGCTGGAGGACAGCAGGCAGCTCCAGGACTGCGTCAGGGTGTCCAGGCCGGGGCCTGCGAGCCCTTTCTGGACCATTCTTTCTGAGACCACCCACTGCCCCAGAGGGTTTCCAAAGTCACCCCAAGCCTGGACCTGAGAGGACAGTCTGTGGAAAAGGGAGTTGGCTGGGAAGAAAATGCCCCAAGTTCACAGCTGTGGCAACTCCATAGCCGCCAGAGTCAGAGCGAGGCCAAACCAAAAAATGACTGCCTTCGAGAGAGCCATTTCAAGTCCAGTCGAATATGTCTTTCTCTTTTGCACAGTCAGACTCCAAGCACCCCACTGCTGCCTTGAAATGTTTGCTTTCTCAGTGCCTGGAGAGTTGGGCCTCGAGCAGGCGGGACCTGGTGAAACACTGCCCCCTGGTGGCCGCAGTTGGGGCAGCAGCTCCACCTCCCAGAGGTTCCAGCTCACGCAGGCAGCCGGCGTGGGCCGCCCAGCCGCGCCCTCTGGCGGCGCCCCCTGGAATTGCTCGCTCATCTGCTGGCTCCAGGGTCTAGCCCTGCTCTCACCTCTGCGGTTTTTACATAAAGAGTTGATGTCCTTGGCAAATACTCTGAGCCAAGGGGAAGGAAACAGACCCCAGCTGAATCACTGATTTGGTCGCTGACATACTGTTACTGGGCAAACCCCAATATAAAATGGGGTTGCCTGACTGCGGGGCTTCACCCGCTCAATCTGTTACAGGGCAGGGAGAGGGGCAGCCCAGACCCCGCCAACCTGCCTGTTCTAAATGGGTTCTGCCATCTGCCACATCAACACAAAACATAGGAGACTTTAATGGGAAGAAACGTTAGTACAATTAGGAAACAATGCAGGAAAGTCAAAGAATCTAGTTTCTAAATCAAGCACCCAAAGTTACCCGTCCCCTCGTGGGTAAAAGTCCATCCATATGGGATTGGCCCAGAGCAAGGCCCCAAAGCCTGGCACAAGTCTAAAGCATCTTCCAGTGGGGACCCACAGAAAAGGGCCAGAAGCAACCAGACAAGCCCGGAAGGAAAAGAGCAAAATCAACATCAAGATAAAAGCTGCCATGGTCACCTCCCCACGGGTCTCACCCACATCTGTGTCACCCAGTCCACGACCAAAAGACAAGCGCAGTTTCTTCACGTGTCTCTCGGCTCCATGCGCCTCCTCCAGGTCTCCTGGCTCCATCCTGCTTCCTTCCTTCCTCAGTCTCCTCTTCAGCTTCTCCTCTCCCTGCTCAGCTCCACCCTCCATTTGGGTGGGGCAGGGAACCTGGAACCTCCCCCTTTCCTGGGGACCACCCTGTTACGATACTATGTCACCTTATATCTTTAAGGGTTTCCAATTATTTTCAGTCGCATAGAAAGAAGAAAAGCACCTCGCTGCGCTCCAGCATGTTAAGAGGATGGGTGAGTGGGTATTTATGTGGTGATGTCAGGGGCGCGGGGCTCTCAGGGTGTTGATTAGCCATCCCATCCCCCAGTCAAGCCAAAAGTGGGGCTTCTCTCAGCCCCAGCAGCCCGTGCGAAAATCAATATGGATCCCTGGCTTCTAAAATAAAAATCAAACAGGGCACGTGAATCCTCTTTATGGGTGTATCCCGGCGGAATGGCCAATAATGAGTGCAGCAGCAGCCCTGGGCTGTGTCTGAGGAGACAGATGCAGAATGGGGCCAAGCTTTCTTATTCTCCTCTAAAATGGAGGACTGAACTCAAAGATTGCTAAAGTCCCGTGCAACTCACAAACTTGGGAGCCGTTGGGATTCTATTTAGTAATCGGTAAGTGACAGAGATCAGCAAGGGGGAAAAGAAGGGCCTCTAGCAACGCAGCCACAAGAGCTCTTACCAGGACCCACTTTCAGGCAAAATAAGTCAAAAGTGCCCCACCCACCCCACCTGGGGGTTGCCACTCCTTATAGGACAGTAGAAATTCAAAAGCCTCTTTGCTTACCCAGAATTGGCCTTTGCATTGACTTTTTTTTTTTTTAAAGATTTATTTATTTATTTATACAAGCACTGGGTACAGTCAGAAGCGCGGGAGGGTGAGAGAATTCACCAGAGCCAGAGCGGGGAGCAGAGCAGGCAGAAGGACCGAAGTACACTGCTGAGGGGAGCAGCGGGCGGCAGGAGAGGTCTGTGCGCCATGTGGGACCCTCCTCCGGTGGCCGGGGAGCAGCCGGGGATCGAACCGGCGCTGCAGAGGCTGCGGGCAGCTTCGCACCCCAGCTCTCAACTGCTGCACCACCGGGGAGACCCCTTTTGCATTGACTTTGACCCCAGGAGGCCTGGGTGTGGTCCCGGCTGGTGGAGAGACAGTGACATCTAGTGGCCATCTCCGCTAACCGGCCCAGCCCTGCCTCTCAGCTCTGGCCAAGTCTCCAACCCCCGCAAGGCTCCATGGGCAGTAACAGGCCAGTGTGAGTAATGCAGGGCCCTGGGTTACAACCTCAGTCTTGAAACTGCCTCTGTCTGACCTTAGTTGATTCAAATAGGAGTTTGACATGTAAATCCTTTCCTTCCAACTTCCTTGTCCTCTGGGAATCTGCCATGGCTTATGGCAGCCAGTCAGGGGTCCTAGGCCTACATGTGGACAGGGTACCCCAACCTGGAAGGAGCTGTCTGAGGTTCCATCCCCACAGTTGTGCACGGTCCTGCCACGCAACCACCTCCACCAGCCATGAGACCACCCGGCCAGGACACTGATGCAGATCGCCGACTCCTGCCTCACCAGCTCAGCTGCTGAGCTAGGAAAAGTGACAAGACCAGGCAGAAGGAAGGAGCTTTGTGTTGCAGGCCAGTCTACCTGTGCTCACCTCTTTGGATACCAGGGCCTTGTCCTATTGGTAGGGTCCACAGGGCTGGTGTATCCCTAAAAAACAATCCAGATGGGTTCTAGTTAACACACTAGATACCCCACAAACCACGAAGAGTGAGACTTCAGAGCCTCCCCCAGGGCCCAGGTGCCATTGTAGCAAGGCGGAGGACACGGAGGCTGAGCCTGCTGATGCTGCTGAGGCCCGTGTTACTTTCATCCTGGAGTAACTAGGCTTCCTGTCTCTTGAATCATGTTCCTTTTCGCTCATTTTAGTCTGTGTTCCTTCGTCTTTCTCAAAGTATATATAACCTTTGGGTGCTGCATCATCCCCTTGGGACCTGAGTGCTTTCCAAGGTGCAAGCAGCTGAGGTGCCAGGTGAGGCTGCACCTGTGCCTGCACCTTTACTCCTCATGCTTCCTCCAGACCACCCTAGCAAGTGCACAGCGCCCACACTAGGCGCCCTGGGAGAAGGAAACTCAGGTTGGGGAGACAAATTCTAGAGGTGCCACATTTTTTTTGGTGGCATGTAGTACATTACGTGTGCTTGTAAAAATATGTTGCTGGAAATGGAGAGCAGGTGAACTAGTGTTTTAAAACACCATTTCAGGGTGTTTGAACTCCAGTCAAGAGTTCAAAATCACACCAGCTGTTTGAACAGGGAAGTCTAACAGAATTATGAACTACTAAACGAGACCAAAGGACTCCAAGGAATACAGGATTAGAAAATGCAGGAAACAGCTGCAACCTC